ATCTCTATACTGCGCGCATGTAGGTCGAGGTGGTTCAGATGGATATGGTAACTGTTCGCACGATAATCAGGGGATTGTACGGATAAATTGATGGCAAGTAATCATGACTTGGAAGAGATATCGGTACAGGATATTTTAATTCTGAAAATGACAGCATTATCATGTTAAGATCTTGCCGATGGGTTATTGTTTCGGTATCTTAACCATAATCAAGGCAAGAGTGGTTGGCGATTGTGCGATATTTACTGAAGTGCGTGAATCAGGATTAGATTTGATTGGATTTGATAACAGATCAAGTTTTGGCTTGGAGAATGAGTTACGGTAATCGGGCGAAGGCAAACGTTATCTGGAGTAAATTTCGGAGCATTAATGGTTTTATACTCTGAAATTGGGGGGCATGTGTTGACACCGTTTTTTGCACGTGTCAAAATGATTGGAGTGGACTAATCGGCAAGGGGAAAGTTACTGTATATTCTGATAGTCGATGAAAGCCAGCTTGTAAAGATGGGTGCCGATAGCTGGTGGTGGTCGATGGAAAGGTTGATTTAGACTCGGGCGTTGCCGATGAGGTTGGAGGTGTTACTGCCGATGAAACAGGGAGTATGCCGATGAAGGAAGACTTGAAGACTACTGCCGATGAAACAGGGAGTATGCCGATGGGAAGGAGGACGGTGAGATTTCCATCGTAATTGAGGCGGACAGGGAAATAGATAGGAGTTGATTTCCTTTTCTATATTTGTTAGAGTATGATTCATGTAAGAGTCACGTGTTTCCTTAGATATGGGCTTGGTGTCCTAGTTGTGTTTGGTTGTGTCTCTTTAGATCAGGGTATAAATATGGAGTGAGGGGCAATGTAATATAGATATCAATCAATATCAAAACCAATTTTTACTCCTATTTGCATCTACTTACTTTTCGGCGACTTCGTCAATTTGCATTATTTTTCCTTTTTATGAGTTCTCATTGATTCGGCGAGCTGCATCGCTTCAGTGCGACCTTCGACGATCCTCGAGTTCCGCGTGAGTACCTCTTGGTCGTGACTTCCGGGCGTATCGCTGTTGTCAGGACCAAAGTGCTCGTATCTTCATCCTTGTCGATTAACAGGTCAAATCAACTGGCACGCCTTGGATATCGATTCGGGTATTAGCCCTTTGTGTTTGCAGATCCACTTTTGCATCAACACACCTTCCTTGCATATTGGGCATGGGAACTTCCCGTGAACACACCAGGCGCAGAATATCCCATACGCCAGGAAGTCATGCAGGGAGTAGTGGTACCAAACGTGCATTTTGAAGGTTGTCTTTGTAGCTCGATCGTATGTGCATACCCCTTCGTTCCAAGCATGGACCAATTCATCAAACACGGGCTCCATGAACACACCCATATTACTCCCTAGGTGTCCAGGAATTATCAACGACAAGAATACGTTATGTCGTTGAAAGGAGACACCAGGGGGAGATTAAGGGGGATAACGAAGACGGGCCAACATGTGTATGGGGCAGCCATCATTCCATAAGGATTGAACCCATCTATTGCCAGCGCGACACATACATTACGAGCCTCATCTGCTTTGTCATGATGTTTGTCATTAAAGCGGATCCAAGCTTCACCATCGGATGGATGTACCATCTTGTCAGGATTGTACCGTTTGCTATTTTTGTGCCATGTCATCTATTTTGCGGATTCCTCGGTCATGTATAGCCATTGGATCCTCGGTAGGAACGAAAGGTACCGTAGGATTTTTATGGGGATCGTAAGTTGCCTCTTCTGGCCATCATCAGAGTCTACCTCCAGGTACATGGAGGATTTACACTTTGGACAGAACTTTGCATGCTCGTGTTCTTTCCTAAATAGGATGCACCCCTTCGAACAAGAATGTATCTGCTCATACGGCATCTTAAGTGCTCGAAGGAGTTTCTATGACTCGTACATGCTCTTTGTCAGAATGTGACCCTCCGGAAGCAGGGTGCCAATCACAGCCAACATCTTATCGAAGCCAGGTTGACTCAAGTTTAACTCGGACTTCAACCCCATTAAGCGTCCAATGGCATCCAGTTGAGACACCGTTGATCGATCGTGAAGGGGTTTCTGTGCCGAGTCCATCATGTCATAGAACGCCTGTGTGGCTGCCTCCATACCCTCCTTCTCACATCCCTCATCGAACTGTCCTTGGTGAAAGTCATCTAACATGTCTGGTACCCCGGCATCAGCATCAAAAGCCTCCACCCGTGGTCTCACCACCTCCTCTCTCATACGATGGGCTTCACCATGGTGGACCCACCGTGTGTAGTCCGGCATAAATCCATTCTTCACAAGATGTTTACCCATTTCCACCTTGTTTATCCTCCTCCTATTTCCACATTTGTTGCAGGGACACAAAATTAGGCAATGTCCTTTAGCAGCCTTGCCAAATGCACTATTCAAGAAAGCATCGGTCTTGTTCATCCATTCCGTGGTGTAATCACTCTGACTTCTCCAGCCCGTGTACATCCACTGACGGTCATCTATCCTCTAACATATGTATCAGCGAGTAATGTAACCATCAATTGCATCTACATGGTGTTCCTACTATCTAATAGGTGAGGATAGGTCCTAATCCCACCCACGGATGCATAGATGTGGTTAATTTCCATGCTCTACTCCTATCCGAGATAGAATTTCGGCAGCACCTCCCCGCTGTTCTCCAGATACACGTCCTACCAAAGATGAGTGCGTATCCGGAGAACAACAGGGAGGTGATGCCGAAACTCGGGACCGGAGCAGACCATGAAAACTAACCCATCTACGCATCCGCGGGCTGTCCAAAAAACGTGGACAATCCAAAACAGATACGGTCATAGATATGCAAAGATCTGCATACCTCCAACCGTATCTCTTTCGAATGGGAGACGCCTATCTAGGTTACGTGATCTACGACCATGATACGAAAAGAGGGGTTATACCTAGGGTGGCGGCGGAGTCAGGCTAGCGGGGCTGTGGCGGGTCGGTGCAGTGGCGAGGCGGCGCGGTGCAGGCAGACCGGCACGGCGACGGGAACTCCGACTTGGCTCCGACGGGCTCTTCTCTACAAAAATGGAACAAAATACTGTCATTTAAAAAAAATTGGCAGAACCTCCCCTGCACGGTGAGGTTTCCAAAACCTACAAAAAACAGTGGCACGATGGCCGACAAGAGACAAGCACATATGTCTCAAGAGAAGCCATGTAATTTGGACATCAATCCATGTAGAAGAATATATCCAAGTAGTACCACTACTTCTACTACTACTTCCACTATTGCTACTACTACTACCACTAGTTCTACTACTACTACCACAACTATTTCTACAACTACTACCACTACTTCTACTACTACCACTAATTCTACTACTACTACTACCACTAGTTGTACTACTACTACCACTACTTCTAATACTACTACTACCACTAGCACTACTAGTACAACTAATACTACTACAACTATCACTACAACGACAACAACAAGAGAGAAGGCATACCTGACGGGCGCTGGGGGTAGGGGCGGGCGGCGTCGGGGTCGGGTGGCGTCGGGGTCGGAGTCGGGGTCGTCGGAGTCGGGAACGGGGTCGGGCACGGGCGCAGCCGGGGGAAAGGCCGGCCGGGGGGTAGGGCCGGCCTGGGGCGGCCGGGGGCAGGGCGCGGGCCACGCTTTTGCCGAGAGTCTGGCACTCGGCAAAGAAGTCCTTTGCCGAGTGCATTTTTTTGCCGAGTGCCCGGCACTCGGCAAAGAACTCTTTGCCGAGTGCAATTCTTTGCCGAGTGCAGCACTTGGCAAAGAGAGTCTTTGCCGAGTGCCCGATTTTTGACAGTCGGCAAAGAATTTTGCACTCGGCAAAGTCTCTGTTTCCAGTAGTGTGTGTAGTGTGTATATAACTTATCAAATACTAGTTAAAAACCATCTTATATTTTTTGGTTGAGTTTGCCAAAATAATGTCAGTTCAGAAACAAAACCTACCAAAAAGGCTAGGTACCAGTTATTTGTACTCGGTTATCAGAGAGGATCATCCAGACACAGAGATCGTTGGGTTCTGCAAGTCTAGCATGCCTGGATGCCTTTACCGATTGGATCATCTGGCAGTGTGAATTGAAAAGACGGTGTCGGAGCTTCAACTACTGTGCCCTCCCTAGTTTAATCTACCTGTGCCCTGCGTGCCTCCGAGGGCGATAATAAACAAAAAAAGATTCCTCCATGGAAGTTCATCTCTCTTCATGCCATGCCGAATATAACGAAGGACAAGAAGCTAAGGTCGTCGATGGTAAACTAAATACATAATCAACTCATCGATCGGCTGGCGCGCTGTCATCGCGCTGGCGACGTATGGCATATGCCAGTGTCATGCTTGTTGGCGGGCGAAATTTAATAAGACGCCGGACGACCTGCTTGGAGTCATGGAGTGTCACGTGGCCGTTTATTGTACACCGATGATCGCATGTTCATTGGCGGACTCTGGAGATGGAAGATGAAGATGACGCCGTTGCTTAGCTGGGAATGATCTGTGAAAGGGCGTTGGAACTTAGAAGTCAACTGATGATATATGTATGTGGTATATACCATTCCTTAGATGCCCTTACACAGACTGGATCACCATCATGATTGGGTAGTGCTATTTTAAAATAGGCAATTTTTGCTAAATAATCAGGGTGGCCAGACGCGTGTTGACGCGTCGAACCCTTGTATGCGAAGTGAATGAAGACGCGTCTGTGATTAGCTTTTCTTACGTAGTGTCTGTCTGTCGCGAGAGAAGCTGATGATGCAGAAGAAAAAGACGCAGTCATGGACTCATGGCAAATTTAGCTAGTGTGTTTGTTTCACTGCTAATCAGGTTTCAAGAAGATCAAAGAATGAGATGTATTTTTGTCCTCATCCGAGGCACAGTGCGACTCTCAGGTCTCAATCAAGAACACATACTGTAGGCACAACCAGCAAAATTAGTTGTAGTACAACCCCAGATCGACCACCCAAACGCCCAAATCCATATTCAGCTACACTCGTGATGACGTTTCCTTTTGCTGTTGCAGCCGCCCATATGTCGTCTGATAACCAATATACGCTGCATACCCGACTGCTTCCATCCACTGCTCTGACAAGGAGGCGACGCCCATGGCTTCACTGCAGTGCAGACATGCCCCACGCAACCAGGCGACCACATGACGATAACAATTGCACCTGCACGCGTTGATCAATTCTGGTTTACTGCATGAAACAAAGAGCAATGTACGAGTAGCTGTTTCAAGTGATCCTTGAGGATCACTTGAAACAGCACATGGAGTGAAGAAATTTAGCGGAAAGCACTAACTAGCGAGGGCAAAGTTACCTGAATCGTGCACAGAGGGGAAGGCGTTTGTCAGCATGCGCACGTCGTCCTACCAGCATTTCGTCTTCAATCGGACATGTTTGACAGTAAGCAAACCTTGCACGTGCCAACCAGCCTGAGGATGAGAGATTTATTTTTTTTCAACAGGAGGAAGCTAAAAGAACAGAGTCTCTGATAATAAAAGTTATTTTAGACGGAGCTGCTGGGTTAATTTTTACCTTGACCAATGGTAGCTCGACTGATATTTGTCTCAAAGTGGAAAGGATCTCTTGTGTACATCACGTACCATTTCCTGCCATTACCGTCGGCATAGGCCTTGACATGCTGGATATGTTTCAGCTTGTCCCACTCAGGGCTTGATTTCCTTGCCGCAATCGATGTGAGCAACGATAAGGTGCAGTGTAGCTCCAAATGCCTTGGGTTTACATCCTTCAGATATCTTGGTAGAGTTTCCATGCCATAATCCTCCAGCAGGAGTGTCTGGAGAGCTGGTACACCCATCAATACCTTCATTCTGGGGCAGTTGCAGATGACAAGATTCTTCAGGCTTGGTAGAAAACTAATCCTCTCCAGGTCAGTGTTTCTGAACGCTTCAAGCAGAACAACATGAGAAAAGTGGTCCAAAGATTTTAGGCAGTTGACGTCATTTACATGGAGTTCCCTCAGTTTCTTTGTGTGGAAGGCAAGGCCACGTGGAACGTGACTCAAGTTGCATCTCTTGAGTTGAAGATACTCCAAGACAGGCATGGCATGCACTTGTTCCTCCCACTCCCACTCCTCCCATTCCACCATTCCTATAAAATTTAGCTTGAGCAATCTAGAGAACCCAGCAGCTACCCGAGAACGCTTGCAACACACGAATTTTTGCCCAAGACGCCTTATGGCTGGGGCCCTGTCGATCTGTAGGAGCTCCAACCATGGGAGCTGACACAGGCCATCAGGAAGTTCGGTGCAGCAGGCCAGATCATCCATTGTCAGAATTCTCAAGCTCTCAAGGGGCATAGATTCTGTCGACATCATCCATCTTGGGAGTCGCTGACCAAAATACCCATGGATGTGAAGGTTTTCTAAGGAAGATGGAGGGCAAAGCTCATTAAAAACCTCCTCAATTTGTAACTTCTTCTCAGAGTCGCCTTCTTTATCTTTTTCCAGCCGACCATCAGCTCCAAGTCTACTGGTGCAACTTAGTGCTAGTTCTCTTAGGCATGCCTTTACACTAAGCCTGACTTCTGTAGCAAATGATGAAGAAGATACATTCTCCATGAGTCTTATACCAAGCTCAGTTAGCTGGCAAAGAGGACCCAGATCTTGCAAACTACACCGATCACCATCCATGTGGGTTGGAAACCCATGTAATTTCCTCAAAGAGGTTATACCACGAAAACCCTCTGGTATACTTTTTATAGATGTCCTGCTAAGTTTAAGAAACCTCAAGTGTTGTAGCATTCCAATGCTACTAGGAAGCTTAACCAAACTCTGACAACGAAAAAGGCTAATATACTGCAAGAACTTCAACTTGCCAATATTCTCAGGTAAGCTAGATGCGTTACTATTTTCTATTGATAAATACCTCAAGTGTTTGAGTTGATACAAAGATTCAACTAATAAATCAAAATTATTTATGGACTCCAAATGTAGTGTCCGAAGACTTGAAAAGGGACCCAATGAATCACCGGGCTTTATCTTTACATGCCCAACCAATATCAGTGTTCTTAGTGATGTATGTGCTTGTAGAGAACACCACTCTAAATCATTTGATTCTGATCCTTTGTTTTGCAGGGATAAACGAATCAACTTTTGTGAATTGAGTTTATTCAACATAATACCAATTTCACTATTGTGACCCACTAGTGCCTCATTTCCTGCCACATACTAAGCAAAAGAGCGAACAACATCATGCATGTTGCAAACAACATGATCAATGTACCTTTTATTTGGCTCAATAAGGTTTCTCTGAATTAATTCGTCATAGTACTCTTTTCCTATTTCCTCTAAGTCACGTGAGGTTCCATGAAGAAATCCTTCACTGATCCACATGCCAACAATGTCACCAACCAAAAAAATTGTGTCCTTAGGAAGGAGGGAGTAATGCAAAAAACAATGTTTCAAGCCTGGACCCAAGTCATCATAGCTAAGATATATTGAATTGCTTAACTCTTTAGGCATTTGAGAAACTGACCATAGAGAGTCCTTTAAGACATTTTCCCAGTCGACTGGCCTTATGTTTTTCTGGCGTAGCAGACCTCCAATAACTTTGACCGCGAGTGGTAAACCATCGCATTTTTCTATAATTCCCATTCCAATATCCTTTAGCATTTCAAGCTGGGGCTCATCATTTACACTTCTAACTACCTGCAAGCATATCAGACTAATTAGATAAGCATTCATTTTTTCACCAGTACGGCAAATGTGGAGATCAGGTTAATACAAAGCGCATGATAAATAAATTGCACTGCCCCTTTGTCACTAACAAGATAGAACTTCAAGCTCAATTTTTTAATGCTCTGGTGGGACACAATTTTTGGTCCTCTTCATTTATATATGCATGTGCACATAACAAAATAGAAAAGGCATCTAACAATCTACATGCTACTCATTTTTAGCTACATCGATCTAGAGGAAAGACACAACGGATATTTAGTGGTGGGGCATGCCTTTCAGCTAAGTACAATCTAACATGAACCCTTGAACTGTCCACTGAATATTTAGATCATGGTTATACACATTTTTTTATTTTTCATGTCTGCCGTGCACTTTCCACATTAGATCGTTCTAGTGAAGTTAGATCTTGTACATTGATTTTCCCCAATTTTCAATGTTCTATATTAAAGGAAATGTAAATAAGTCACTTTTTGAGCATATTAAATCAAATATAATTAAATCAGTGGTCCACAGTTATTTTAGAGTAACATAGCTATAAACTTTGGGAACTAATTTGGTAAAAGAATCATTTTTCCCAATTCCACGGTAATTTTTACCCATGCATGCACATACTGTTTACTAGTACACAAAGGGCCTATAGTTCCATTTGGGACACCCCTTTAGTCCCGGTTTCTCACCCTTTACTCCTGACATAGGCAGCCCGGACTGAAGGGATCTTTAGTTTCGGTTGGCAACACCAACCGGGACACCAGGACTAAAAGGGCCTCCAGGCCACTCCCGGGGGCGGGCACCTTTAGTCCCGGTTAAGGTCCCTTTTATTTTTCTTTTCTTTTCTAGTTTCCTTTTCCTTTATGGATTCTTTTCAAGCCCCTATACTGGCATACCAAAGTCCCTATTTGAACTTGGTTTGTCGAATCTTATCATCACACATCCATCACCACACCAAGAGGTGGTTCCCAACTGAAAATCAATTGTTCACACTACTATAGTGAAGTCCATCCACAATGCATTATCGATATCACTCATACTACCAAAATCCATGTATGATAAAAAAAGTGTATCCTATCATAACACAAGCACCGCTCGCAACAGTTTTTCAGATCAGTTAGCTAGGATGTGGCTCAAGGGTACTACTCTGTTTTATAGTATATTTGTAGTACGTTGCGATTAGCAGGCATGGCACCAAAAAAATGTCATATAATTTTTGAACTTTCTATTATGCTCCTATGCTACTTTTTACTTGAACACAACGAAGGTTTGTAAGCTCTCCACTGATCTTTTTGAGCGCAAGATGTCCATACTAAGAAAAAGGTAAGGTTTTCTTAATTATACCTCATAAAAAACCATAAAATGAACTTATTATTGTTTCCTAAGTCTGTAAACTGAATTTTCTAGGGAATTTACCATTTCTTATTGCCTTCATTGTCAGTGTTATGCAATGGCACTCAAAATTTCCATTACAAAACCATGAAAATTCCGTGCACTTTTCCCACAAAAAAAAATGATATAGACTTGTTGTACAGGTTCTTGTTTGAATGTCTTGATGAAACTGTGAATAACTTGTGGGGTCCCTAAAATATGAAACTATCAGGCAACTGACGCTTTATATTTGTAATATCGCAATATATACTAAATATACTAGATTTTTGCCACATAAAAAGAATACTGCAAGTGGTAGCAGATCGAGCCCTTACTTTTAAGAGTGCACCAAATATAATGTGATGCAGCTAACAAGCACGACGTCTGAATGAAAACCAAAGGAAATTTTCAAAGAATGGGTGAGCTTGTATGGACCTGTTTCTTGAGAAGCAACCATGCATCCCCAGGGTCAAGTTTATTGATATGGTGGTAGGGTTCCTCTGCCATCATTCCTCGTGCAACATTGTCATGCCTAGTGGTGATGAGGACACGGCTACCATGAGCTAGGGCAGCATTGAGGAAGGGCGTTCTAAGCACACCCTCCCATGCACGATAGTCCCAGACATCATCCATTATCAATAAGGTCCTATGTCCCTTTAAGGCTTCTATTAGAGCTCGCTCTTGCAGTGTCTTTGCATTTCCGGCAACATGGTGGTATCCCCCAGCTTCAGAGATTGCTCTCCTCAACAGCTCAATCTCATCAAAGTCTTGGTTGACACTCAACCATATTTTCTTTGTGAAATCTTGTTGTATTATGTCATTATTAAAGATCTTTTGGGCAAGGGTGGTCTTGCCAATCCCTCCAACTCCCACAATGGCGAAAACCATAATTCTGTTATATTATTGTTGTGTTTGATACTCTTTTGTGAGCATCGCCACTAGATTTTTTGTGTCCTCCTCAATCTTCTCACCAACCAAACCTGATCCATCGAGGGCCCCCGATGTCTCACGTGTACTTGAACCAAATGATGCCTTCTTACTTCCATCGTCCTCATAGGAACCAAGGTTGACGAAGTTGAATGACGCGCTGCGTGCCTTGATGTCATCTAGCCTCTTGTTAAGGTTCTTGATGCGGTTTCCAATATCATGGGCATGGAGGGGAGTCCGCATGCAGAATAGCAATGGGTTGAAGCATCCCATGTCCCGGCTTGGGCCTTGCTCCATGGCCTTGAGCTGGCACAGATCCAGGATGTTTGTGGCAACATACATGGCATCCCGAAGCTCTCCCACCCATGCCTTCACACTTAGATCAGTGATGTTCCTCCTATCAGCATCTGTGAGGAAGTTCTTGAGATCTCCAAGCTTGACTCCCATCTTGTCAATCTCCTGGGTGACCCCCAGTAGTATATGCACCTCTTCTTTAGCCATGTTCACCAACATGTGTTGGATGTAGAATGCCAAAACAGCAAGGACAGCCACCATGGCAGTGAGCTTGTATGGCTATTTTTCTGCAACAAAAGCAAACCATCATTTATAGGTTCAATAGCCTATAAACTCGGTGCATCCAAAAATAAATCAATTCCTAGAATGACCCTAAGACAATATAAGCTTGACCAAGTTTATAGAAGAGGGTGAAAATATCTATAGCATGAAATACGTACATTATGAATATATATATATATATATATATATATATATATATATTCCATGAGGTATGTAGTTAGTGATACTAATTTGGTATATTCCATGAGGTATGTAGTTAGTGATACTAATTTGGTGACATAAGTTTTGGTGCTCTTTTCAATAAATCTAGTTAAATTTAAATAGTTCGACTTAATACAACTCTAGAAGTTGAACTAATTTGGGACGAAGGGAGCACTGGAGTGGTTGCACCTCACATTCGGTAACCATGCATATGGAACAATTCATATCTTCTAGCCTCTTAAAATGTGTATTATTGTTTCCTACCGAAAGTCAGGGACGGTAGTGTTAAAGTATTGATTCTCTGCATTGCATGTTTTTTTGCTGGTGATGCAGATGCTAATTATTCATAAATTTAATGCGACTTATGCAGTACCACACTTCTAATAATTGATGTAAAATCAGATGTTGTTGACAATGGCTACTTTGCAGTTTCATATCGTAATCTGAAACAATGGCTACTTTGCCGTAATAACGCACTCGTTGCCGTAATGAACATATCGTAATCTGAAACAATGGCTACTTTGCAGTTTCATATGTCTCTCAACTAATCACAAATCAGATGTTATCTCTGGGGTGATTGATCCTAATCGTCACGAACAAGCAGAGAACCTGTTGTTGACAAATGGGAGGCAGAGCTATGCATGCATGCAAGAAAATACAAACGGCCATGCTAGAAACGAACCTGAGGTTGGCGTGGCCAGAACAGTTGCCGCCGTGGTTTATTCTGAGATCTGATTTTACAGCTCGACTGAGGCTGTGGAGGCAGCGGAGAAGACCAATGGTGAGGTTTCCGGTAGGCGGTAGCCCAGAGTGTAAGGGGCGAGATCAAATCAAATTAAGTGAAAACAGCAAGGCTTTTGGTTCCAATGTGGAGTGGTTGGCCATGGATGAGTAAGGGAAGAAGATGATGGCTGGGATGGGGCGGTGACTGTGAGAGGAGGCAGTAATATATACAGTAGGCTGCCGAGCAAGCTCTATAGTACGTACCAAGGACCAGAAATTGCGTGGAAATATCCGCGCGTATGACATTGTGAAAATATTGTAAAGTACCCCCCTAAATTTGTATTTGTATATAGATTATCCACCTCCATCGTTACTAAAATTAACATAAAAACCCCTGAATCTGTATGTAAATCACCTACTTATTATTTACTATAAAAAATATGACAGTCTAATGATCCACATATTCTTCTTCTTAATTACTCACTTAAGTAATAAATGTATTATATTTGTCATATTAAAAAAAGAACATGTGTATAATAAGAATGCTTGAAGCAATGAGCATACATGATGTATTTTTCCGTTAGACATACCTAGCTGAAGCAAAAATTTCTTTTTCGAAAGATCCGTTACCGGCTTTCATTGATAAGATTAGAGAATAATTACAGTAAAAGTTCTGGCACAAGCTACGCCAACACCCATTTATGCTCGGAGCTCAGCTAAGTGAGGTCCAAGCCACCCCTGGTTTGCCTGAGGACTAATTTATATACGTTGGAGGAACAACTAGGCCATTTGCCATTTCTGGCTGATCAACTACATGAGACTGGACGTCGTTCTGCCCGGCAGTATAAGTTGCAGCCTTTTGTTTCCTGCATGTGCCCACGTATTGGCTTTATCATAGATGGATTCCATAATCTTCTGCACTTGCCTGCATTCCTTCATGAAAACTTTGCTGTTTCTTTCACGCCACACTTCCCAGATGGTCAACACGATCAGTGATCTCAGCCCCTCCATCATTGGTGACGGTAGTCTGTTCGTCATATGAAGAAACCACTCCTTGACATTATCTGCATCTTCCCAATTTGCCGGCTGCAGGCACGGTGCTCTCACCCATAGCCCCATCCTTTCCCATATCGTTTTGACCACCGGACACTCAAGCAAAAATTTCAACTAAAGATATCTCAAACATACATGCATTTTTAAAACGTGTCTTGAAAGCCCATGCAGGATGGGTTGGTTAAATCAACACAGTACTACCAATGGGTGAAAGCCGGAGAAAGAAGGGATCAGAGTAACAAGAGGATACTCTGTTAGAGCTGCTGCAGTACGCAAAAGCCCTCCCAAGTTAGGGCTCATATTTTTATTTGTGGGCTACTATACTTTTGCTGGCTAAATTTTTGGGACTCAAGTCCTTCAAGAGCACTTAAATAAGGGCTCCTGCTACTGGCACATAGATGATTCTTCAGACAGACAAAATCGACTTTTAGGAACAATTTTTGAAACAGCAGCTATGCTATGATTGTAGAAACAAGAAATTTTCATAGGTTGTTTGAAAACAACCCTGTTTTTTTTAAAAAAAAATAAAAAAAAAATTTAATGTGCCAAGGGCTACAGTCACGTCTTGCGCATGCATCTCTCCTGCACACCGCACCCTGAAGTCACTTGTAACAAAGATGCTACCTCTTTGTATTAACATTTATGAATCTTGTATTGATAATTTTAGCTACTAAAGAGTATCAAATGCAAAATCGTTCAACTATAATGTTTTAGAACAAATGACACACTCCAATTTTGGTATACGCCATGTCTCCACCGAAGGTAGTTTGAGAACTTCAAAAACTTTAAATTCAAAAATTTGATATTTTCAATTTTTCAACTGATATCATTTAAGATAATTAAGAATTTATCAACTACAATGTTTGAGATCTTGTCCAACTCTACTATTATAATATAGATTTTGTTTTTCATCTGATATCATTTAAGACAATTATGAATTTATTTGGTTGGCAGCTATTTTCAAGGTTAGTTGACTTAGTCAGCCGTCCCTGAAAATTGATTTCTAAAAATGGTAGTAAATAAATGCATAGATTTTTTAGAGACGGTTTTTATTAAGCTAACTTCCAAAGGAAATTGATTTCAAGAGCCGGTTTGTAAGCTACAGGGCATTAAACATTTATAGAGGCTGGACTCTTAAGGCCTTGTTTAGTTGGGTGAAATTTGGGAATTTGGCTACTGTAGCACTTTCGTTTTTATTTGGCAATTAATGTTCAATCATGGACTAATTAGGCTCAAAACGTTCGTCTCGCGATTTCCAACCAAACTGTGCCATTAGTTTTTTTTTTGTCTACATTTAATACTCCATGCACGTATTGTAAGATTCGATGTGATGGCTACTGTAGCATTTTTTGAGAAAACTTTTTGGAACTAAACAAGGCCTAAAAATAGGAGGCGGTTATTGTAAAAATCATTTTTGTGGTAGTATACGACTTTTACACATGGGACCGATCCATGAGCTTATTAGAGCAAGGCCAATAATATACCTTGGCCCTCTGTTTGTTGTATGTACATTTATTTACTGTCCACTTATATAGTAGTTGGCTAATCTATGATTCACTTTTTTTCTCTCTTGAAGTTTCTTCATTCCTATGCATAAGCTGGCTCAGCCCACTCCTCTTCTCTCTACTCTCCTCTTTACCCGGCCTCAAAATAAAGCCCACTTATAGACAGTTCACTATTTACTCCTACTCAGTTCATCACCTAGGGTTCCATGAACCATCCCGTGCAACTCGGCAACTGCATTGAGTGTGCAGCGTGGAGTCAAACAAGAAGCTGTCACACCCCAAAATTTGCCACTTTTGAAAATAGAGTTAAAATAATTTATTTATGAATTTTTGTGCACATGAAAACATAGGAAAATAAAATTTTCATTAATTTAAAATTTATCATAAGAAAGAAACGTGTTTGTTGCATCCATGCCGGTCGCACCTCGTGTTTCTATGTGCAAAATATGTGTTTTTTATACGTTTAGGAGACGAATATCTATCTCTAGGAATTTTCCAGCTTCTTTCTGGAATTTAATTCCTACCTCCTTCACCTTAATCTTTATGTTCCATATTCCCAACAATCTTTTTATGAGCTCCAAATACTTTATTTGGGTTCATCATGTTCCAAAGTGTCTCTGGGAATTTTCCCCGAATTTTCAGAGCTTTCAGAGTATTTTTCGCGGCTTAAATACTAATTCTGGACTTTTCTAGAATTATTTTATCCACGGAATTAATTAATTCCGAAAATAATAAATTTCTCATTTTTCCCAACGCTCAAAGCCCATGTGTAATAATCCTAATAAATCCTAAAGGCCCATGCATTTATTTACTAATGGGCTTTAATGATTATTTAGGCCCATTAGTAAATGTGGAGGGTGCAACGTCAATGAGTACCATATCGCTAGTTGACGTGGATGTGGGGAGTTTTTCTTCCTATATATATCAACCAACCCCTTGGACAAAGCACACCAAAACTACCGTATGGGGAGCCCCTAGTTTGAGAAATCCCTCGTGTAGTAAATTATATTTTCCCTCCTTCCCTCGCCATTACCGTCGCCGTCGCGCTGCCCAACCCGACGCTGCGCCGCTGCCGTTCGGCCAGCTGCGCAGCCAAACTGGCTCCACATCTTGCTGCCTGACTGCCTGCTGGTCCAACGGGCAGACCATGTCTGGCTTTCATCATCGTCCGCTTCTGTACGTGGTGAGCTTATATCTGTCAATCTGTTCTCCTAACTCTCATCTGTCAGCTCGCTCTTACGTGGTCCCATGGTCATTGTGCGAGGTGGTCGTCCGGCTGTCCCATGCAAGCTTCATCGGCCGTGTCTGCTTGTCCATCCATGCCTCTCCAACAAAACCAGCCGGCGGCAAGCTGCCTGTTCCCAAATTTTGCAAGTCACCGTCGTCCAACATCTGTGTCCTGCAGAAAAAAAACAGATATTGTTTTGGCTCTCGGTGAGTTCAGTGCCCAACGCCATGGTCCCCATGAACTGTTGTATATCGATCTATATCCAGCTT